TATATATATATTCCCAATCAAAACATGTAGGGAAGAGCTGTGGGTGTTTATATTCCCAATCAAAACAGAAAATGGAAAATACAGAGATGCAACCTTTGCATTCCTCAGATATCAGGAGGAATTTGAGTTGGAAAAGACAATCTTCTTTGGAAATAATTGGAAAATTGATGGAAGATTATCAAGGTAAAGAGGGCTTTTTATGATTGGAATCGCAAGGGGTAAAGATCATGTAAGAGGATTTCATCTAAAGCTCCAAGGGATGAAAGGTGGTACAAGGAGGTTCTTGTTGGTTTCGAAACTTCAAACATTAGTAAAGAAAAGGCATTGTCCAAAGCAGAGGACACTAAACCTATTGCGTCGTTTAATTAGAGTATGTTTAATTTATAATTTACAAGCTATTTATGTTCTTTATGGACTATTGCGGTTTGTATTTATTTTAATTTTTAATTGCATGTTTAGTTTTAGGGTTCTAATATCTTCAGATGTGGTATGTTTATTCTATGATTTTGACGTTCATATTTTATTGATTTTATTCGAGTTTAGATATAGCTAGGTTTGTTTTATGCGTTATATGAACTTTTTATGCTTAAAAACTTTTTGTTTTGATTTTGATTTTATATTTATAGATGTTTAAAGACATAATACTTCAAAAAATCTTAAACTATTTAGAAAATTTTCAATAAGTTCTTATTCTTTTATTATATTCAATTAAACTTTTATATTTTTATTTTGTCTCAAATAAATTTTTATAACTAATCATTATTAATTGCTATTAATCAAAATGTTATTTGTCATTTTTATGTTACTTGAAGTTAATGTGGTATAATAATATGTCACAACCGATGATGGAGTTGTATAATGACATGCCACATGACATTTTTCACCTTTTATATCAATGTCATATAAACACAAATGATAAGTGACATTTTGATTAATATCAGGTAATCCACCATTGCTCATTAGGCTTATTTGATCTAAAATAAAAATATAAAATTTGATTGAATACAATAGGAGAATAAAAATTTATTTGAATTATTTTAAATAATTCTGGAACTTTTTAAAAGAATATGCCATGTTAGTATGTTTTATGTTGTGATTTCATGGTTAATTGTTCAAATATGCATGATTTAATTTTCATGATTGCAATGATATACTCTCCTTTATTATCCATAATACAATTCCTTCGACTTTTATTCCTAATAAACATTTTTTATACTGCATAATATGTGAAACGAACTTAAATAATATTACAAAAGATATTATGAATTTGAGTGTTAGCAAGGAAGAAATGCCATCAGCATAATGCTCAAATATTATTGAAGTTGATTACTCATAAATGCTAGGTTAATAGTGCCTAAACTGAATCTTAAATTTTATCACTTTTTTATTTTGATTCTATTTATTAATATATTTTTCTATTCCATAAATAGGATGTGGCATTGGCGAGGGAGTCCTTGATTTTGGTTTTGGTGTTTGGACTTTTCATGGTTGATAATGTGATTGATGATGTGTATTTAATTATGGTTAAGAATTATGGTTAATGATTATGGATGTCATTTGGATTTTAGGGTTGGGTTGATAATGATGGATTTAATTATGATAATAAATTTTATAAATGTTATTGATTTTGAATTTTATTATATTAGATGATATTATCATATTGTTATAATTGTCTTTATAATTATTGATTTTAAATTT